TAGCCTGCGAGCAGGCTCTCTGGGGAAAGAGAGCCTGCAAGGATCCCTTTGATGATTCGGTGCATGCGTCCAATATTTGGACGCAGTGCTCTGATTGGTTGATAACTGATTCATATGAAGTGATTGACAAGCTTCCATAAACTTGCACTTCCCGTTTGTAAAACCGAGCAACGCAAAGCTTCGGAATTGCGGCAATGTAGAGATAAAAGTGTCATGTATTTTGATCCTGGTTGACTTTTTACTGTAAATTAATATAGTATTCATATAAAGACGAATACTAAAAGCTTGCATGCTTTATTGTGTCCTTGGCTTGTCTGACTTCTAAGCTAAGAATAATTCTTGAGAAAGACTGCACAAATTCGCAAACCGAAACCTAGGGACAAGGCATTATATCGCTTCTCTTTTATGAAACAATATTGGGAATTCTGATAATATTCAGTGCATATTGTGTGTATTAAGCTTGTTTTACAATGTTATACTGACTATTTAATATTTATAAGTATGCGGCGTTAAAATGTACAGTAATTTACTCGTCACTTTGTTTACAATAATTATCACATGCATGTTTACTGCAATTCCACTTTTGTTGCAAAATTTGAACTATAAACATATTATTAAATTATGTCCAATGTCCATGGTATATCATATATGTCTATGTCTCACCAAAGCCATAAATTTCAGTAAGTTATATTATTACTATATATAGACTGTATACAGTGTATATTATATATTGCAGCACGAAGCAATTCCAAATAACTGAATTAGTTAGCGGGTAATATACAACTTTAAACTTACTGTGCCTACAGGAGAAACACATGCAGATTGTAATAAAAAGTACAACTTGATATATTACTCTGTAAAACCTCGAGCCGTTTTAACTTTTTAGTATGCCACAGTGGCGGTCTGTATACGAAACTATTAACGAATTTGAAACGAATCGGTTTATGTTTACAATATCGTAGTGTATTCCGGTCTGCGCTGATTGGTTGTTATTAATTGACCTGTGACATCATAATTGAAGGGTGGCACGCAATCATCATAGGGATCCTTGCAGGCTCTCTTTCCCCAGAGAGCCTGCTCGCAGGCTAAACTTACTTAACTTTACTTTACTTTACTTTACTTTACTTTACTGACTGACGCGATAGCAATATATCTGCGCTACGCGCAGATACAAAAATCGGTACGCGACCGCGTACATGTATCTGCGCATTAAAGGTCCAGACACGCCGGACGCGATTCGACAACGCGACGCGATTTTTCGATTTTCACTGACCGATAACTTTGATCCAAGTTTAAATTTTCCAAATATTTAGAAGCGCTATAACATTTTAAGTTACTTGGTCTACATATGTTTCTAACTGATTTGCTCTCATTGGCTGTTTTTCAAACTAACTGAAAAATCGCGTCACGTTGTCGAATCGCGTCCGGTGTGTCTGGACCTTAAGGCCTGATTCCACGACGGCGAAATTCGTCGCGAGAACTTGTGTCTGCGAAATACGGTGGTTGCACATGAGCGATTGTATTGAATTGTCCCACTTTGTCCCCTTTCGCAGTAAGTAAAAATGTTTCGCATTTCGCCGAGAAAAAACGCTCGTGGAATCAGGCCTTTACTGCATTGATGTTGCATTCTCGGAATCACATTTTTACAGCAATTGTGCGAAATTGTGCTAGTTGAAATTATATGCCTGCTTCAGATATAATATTTACATTTAACCAGTGACTTCTAAATTAAGAGGACGAGAACCATTTATATCCCGAATCACGGCAACTGATAACAATCATACAAAAATGTTTCTTTTTATATGGAGCTAAATATCTGCTATAAAATGTGTGGATTCAAAGACGTGGGATTAGACGTCTGTACATGGAGTCATGAGCTAATAATAGTTTCTGACATTTAAAACAACAGGGCTACGTTTATACTATACTTTGTTTTTATAGTTTAGCCAAGTTTCAGAGGCCTCCATTAAATAACTGTCAAGATATACACGCAAATATAATTTGCTTGTCTATATCTAAAATTTGTAATTATTTCGTGAAGATTCAACCATAAAACTATTGCCGGAAATGCAAGGCCTGATTATAAAAACTCAGGGAAAACCCGTGCGTATGAAATGCGTGGCGTAAACATGTCAATCAAATATCATTCTATAAATATGACGTTTTATATTTGCACAGTACATCGTGTACGTTTTTGTTGTAGAACTTGTGTTGTTCAAATCGAATATGAAGTAAAATCAGGAGCATACTGTCACAGGCTAATTTTGTATTTTAATACCCTCTGGAAATACCAAGGCTTTGGTTCCCTATCTATCACAAAAAGTAACAAATCCAAAACAAAGTATGAGGACTAATATTTTTCCTATCATTTGACAGATTAAAAGTATTATTCAAGAAATATGTCCATTTTAATCATAACGTGATACAAAAATACTAAATAACATGCAAAATTCAGTGCCAAAGAGGGATTTATTTGGCGGTAGTTAAATTAAATATGTAAACATAATATGTTCTCAAACTGGCACAGTTTAATACAAATTGGCAATTAAAGCTCGCAATGCTATATATTTGGTTTGAGATAAAATAGTAAGTACTCATAATAATTACAATATGTCCATGACCTAATTACTCAAAAATTTAGATTATTAAATCACATAATGGAACGACTTGCAATTTGCTACGCTCACTCGTTAGCAATATTCTCTTCAACACTCGAAATAAATTACATATTTCCGCACAACCATGTATAAATATTCTCTATACATTCCAGTTTACCTTTAATTTGTCAAGTGGTAGGCAAGATATTTATAGTCCTTTTGATTTGTTATTCTCTTGACCCAACACGGAAGTGATAGGGACTTGAGAAAATGACAGTTGCAACTTGCGTGTAATTTGCTCGGAGCAATTTGCAATCAACATATTTGCAAGATTGATTGCAATGTTGCAATACTCATGGGAACAGAACATCCGGTTTGACTGTAAGAGTTATATCACTCCAAGACTGCTATAGAAGAAGATTTTATCAAAATAGAGTCAGGATAAAGTATATTAATACCACGATTACTATTAAAATGATTACTACTCTTGAAAGCTTTTCGAAAGACGCCATCTTGTTTTAAAGCTGTTCTAGCCTGCGAACAGGTCAAAACAAGGTTAACTTAACATTAACGACTTAACACCTTTAACGACTTAACTTTACTGACAGACGCGATAGCAATATATCTGCGCTACGCGCAGATACAAAAAGGTAGGTCACCGTTCTTATTTCCGCTTGATGGCTTTTTGGCTGATATAGGCTAGATAAATGGTGACGTAATATTGCCATGGTAACGTAAAGAGTAACGATTGTGTGTTAAATTACTCTTTGATATACGAGGAAACAAAGGCTTACGCAAAGAAATGAGTTTTTCAGCTTATAAGCTTTTAAAGAGATTTTTATAGTTGAAAAGAGTGATATACAGGGCGTATAAAAAAAAAACTGAACAGATTTGAAATTGCTCTCAATTTCGCAAAACACTTATTTGTATCCGGTTTTTTATATATATAGCTTCTTTGGGTACTTATAATGTAGAACAATGAAAAAAATTTCGCGAACTCAAATTTTGTGAACCAGGGGGGTGTGTCTTTTCCAACAAACTAAAAGTGGCTCGCGCACAAAATTTAAAGGCTGCAATCATATTTTGAGTTAATAGATGGAAAATTTGTCGGATTTTTAATTACTGTACAAAATTTTAGACAATTTGGTTTAGTTTAAGCCCCTTAACTATTCACGCAAAGTTACATTTTTCCTACTGAAAATCAGCTATTTGCATGCTTAATTAATGCATTTGCCTAATTTGCATATGTCAGC